ATGCAAATTTTTCTGTTGTATCATCAACCTCCAATACATCAATAAGTGATGTTCTATCACCCAACCTCCATATTTTGTTCACTATCATGTGGATCTTACCCACATGTGGCGCTTTCGTGTTGAGAAATTTCCCTATTAGAAAGTCTTCCCATAGAGGCTTTTCTCCAACAAACACTTCCTTTGGAACCACGACTCTTTCCTTACCATCCACTTCTGAGACTACAAACTTTTGCTTGGAAAAACATGTTTTTGAGCAACCTGAACCCAAGATTTCTTCGCTTGTGGCTTCGGAATCTCTGGATTCGTGGTTGAAATTTCCTGACTAGATCCATCTGACTTCTCTGAATTGTTTTCTCTTGAAACTTCAACTAGACTTACCACATCACTGTTCTCTGAACCTTTTTACTCCACAAAACCCCATTTTGACTAGTAGCATCACCTTGTGAATCGATAAGCTTACTTTCCGGTAACCGAACATCACAGATCCAGGTGGAGAAGCGGCCGACGGCTTCATTCTTGCGAAGAAAGCAAAAACCCTAGGTCGCTTCTAAAATCGCCTGCCACGTCAGCAGATAAATTTTTTTTTTTTTTTTTTTTTCTCTCTCTGCTTTCTTCTAAAAATCGCTTCTAAATAACCTTTCCATAGTGGAAGCCCCCTTGGCCCATTGGTTGACCAATGGTTCATTAATGCTTCTACACCCAGAGGTCTGGGGTTTGAGTCCCAGATACAGCGATTTATTAATAAATTTGCAGATTATTGGAGGCAAGTGTGCAGGAGATCTCCAGCGATGTACAATTATAGCCGTTCGCCAGGATTCTACACAGAGAATGAAGCGTCCATCAAAACCATGAAGAAAGTGAGCATGAAGAAGGAGGTGAAGGAGGTGAACATGAAGAAGGAGGTGAAGGAAGTCGTGGATCTAATAAGGGTCGGAAGGAATTGTCCGTTGTAGAATCGTCTATGTAACAGTTCTCATAATTTGCAATAAATAATAAATCCAGACGATAAAAAAAAAACATTTCCATATATGTCTTCTACATCTGTTAAGGTCTATCCCTTTGTCTTATTATTTTCTCGTCTGATCATGACCACTAGTTTGTTTTCTCCGGTGTTTAAGGTGATTATTTAAACTGTAAAAGATTACCTTTGTTTTTAAACCTTGTTAAGCTTTCTTTTGAGAGTAATACAAAACAAGGTTGGAAAGTGCTTCCTCGTCTATTCAAGAAATCTCCAAGGCTAGAAACTTTGGTCCTCAAGGTGTGTATCCCCTAATCTCTCAATTTAGACTTATTAGTTAGCAGATAATTTAATTCACAATCCTAACTTTTTGATTTTTGCTCCAGGGCTTGCACTATCTTTCAGTGCCCAAAAGGAACCACTTCGTACGTATTAAGTACTTTTGAGTCATCCACCCTCAAAGATCCCTTTGCCGACAGTATATGCCAAATTAACTTCAAAACACTCACTTTGTTGGCTTCTTCTATTGAACGCAGACCTAAGATCCCTCTTTTGTGTTTTCTCGGCATGTAAAAGTTCTTTTATAACTCTTTGTAATGATTAACTCAATAGTATCAGTTTAAACTTTTAGTTTCAATGTTCACTTTCTCTTTAAGCCCCAATTACAATTCCAGGTTCCGTGTTTCGGTGAAAGGAAGAAGATGATCCCAAAAACAATTTCTCATTTAAAAGTGAAACAGAAGCTAAGTATGTGTGGTTTTGTATGTTGAACAATAAATCTCTTAAGCGCAACTGGTAGTGTTTCAGTTTATATGCATGTGTAAGACGAAAACATAGAGTAAGTGACACTGCCTTCTTTGATATTTATATGCACGTCTATTTATGAACAATTCTTGGGTTCACCCCTAGGGGTTGAACCCAATTCATTCACCCCCATTTTAATCACCAATCAAATTTTGACATGTCATCTAACTAAAACAATTAATATTGTTCTTAATATTATCTAAACAAAATAATTTAACTAAATCATTAAAAACTCAAAATTAAATTAATTATAGGCCCCACTACTCTCTCTCCCACGTCTCTCTCTTTTGTTTTTTTTTTTTTTTTCAAATATTGTTTTTCTTCAACTTTAATAAAAAATGTAAAAAAAAAAATTTAACCAAAATAATTAATAGTAAAGCTTTAACATTTCCATATGTTTTTTTTCTTTGTATTCAAAATGATCGAGGTTTACAATAAATCTCCGTAACTTTTGTCAAATTCCTACAAAATATAAGATTTCAAATAATGAAAAATTTGACCGAAAAGTCAAATATAAATAGTAAGAGTAAATTATTTACCTGAAACACTTGTGAAGAAAAAGACCCCGTCTGTAAAGTCGGATTGCTTGTAGCTACAGATAAGTGGATATCGGAAGCAAAAGTTGAATCCTGAAGCATTTATCGATTTTATCTTGTAATTAATATACATACATCTATTGACGAAGTCACCGAAAAGTCAAATATAAATAGTAAGAATGAATAGTTTACTTGTAGCACTTGTGAGGAAAATGGCTCTGTCTGTAATGTCGGATTGTTGGTAGCAAAAGTTGAATCCTGAAGCATTTATCAATTTTATCTTGTAATTAATATATATATACATCTATTGACGAAGTCACCTTTTGCTGGAAATTGGACATAAACGAAAAAGAAGAATTATTTATCAAATACCTGAAACAATAATTTTTTTTTACATTTTTTATTAAAGTTGAAGAAAAACAATATTTGAAAAAAAGAAAAAAAAAACAAAAGAGAGAGACGTGGGAGAGAGAGTAGTGGGTCCTACAATTAATTTGATTTTGAGTTTTTAATGATTTAGTTAAATTATTTTGTTTAGATAATATTAAGAACAATATTAATTGTTTTAGTTAGATGACATGTCAAAATTTGATTGGTGATTAAAATGGGGGTGAATGAATTG